AGCCTCTGCGTCCAGACCGGCTCTGGGGCCCACCCAGCCTCCTCTACAATGGGTACCGGGGTCCTTTCCCGGGGGTAAAGCCGGCTGGGGCGTGATGCTGACCACTCACCCCCATCTAGTGCCGAGGTCAAGGAAGAGAGGAGCTATACCTCCACTCACTCCAAACGCCTACATGGCATATAGTGGGACAAACTTTACTTTTTATTTGTTTAATTAGTACCCTCTAGAAAATGAGACAGAAAAGAATTTTATGTTTAAAAAATAAAAGTATGAACATACCTTCCATATTAATGTCTTGATTTTTTTAAATGAATTAAGAAGTAAAACTGTTTCAAAGTACGCTGGACAACACGGCATATAAATTACGTAAAAAAGTCACCCTTAACAGTTTAGCAATCCAACCTCATAGTTAATGTGATGGATGAAATCACTCAGTTTTGTAGTTTCACGTTTAAAAGAAACAATATTATTTGGTATTTGTTTTAAAATTTAATCTCGGCACGAAACAGAACATTTTTGTCTTGTCATTTTATCATCCAAACACTGGTATAAATAAAGAAAGGTGTAGCTACTTTTATACAATTTTAGACTGTCAGTGTATTACTGTCATACCATAAAAGTGTAATGAAACTTATTCAGAGAAAAATAATGGAGAATAGGAATTAAAATCAGTCAGAAATAGAATACTTACATTAACAGTAACTCCAGGCAGGGGAAAAGCCTGTGCAGGTGGAGTTTCCCCAGGAAGGTAGCGATAGAACTCTGATCCATCTTTGTACCACTTGACGGAATACAAAATAGCTGGAGGATGGAGCTCAAAATTGCATTTGAGTAAAACGTCTCTGTTTATTACTTCCTGTGCTGGGACATGCACTCCTACCAGTTTTATAAACTGACTTGGACCTGAAAGAAGAAAGAATGGAAATAACTAACACTAAGGAGCAGAAGTTTTCTTGAGAAGCTGATTTTCTCTCAGCTAGAAAATAAATTCCCTGCACTGTATTAAACCTGAAGGTTCATCACCATGCCCAAGAGACCCCACTAGCAGTCCCTATTCTAAAATTCTGCATTTATAATATCAGACTGACTGTACAAAATACAGGAGAATAACACGACAGGGGTACTAAATGTATACTTTCATTATTATACACATTTCACAAAACGTGTACTAAAAGAACCTCGAAAGGAGGCACATATAAAGAAAAAGTACTGAAGAGAAACAAACCAGCACCAGTTATACACTGACAGGGCCCATTATTCACGAGGCAATCTGTTCAGAAAAGAGCCGATTGGTCAAATTGTCGACTTCAGTGCATATACGTCAAGTATTTAATACAATACAAAATATCGCTGGCGACGGCACGTTACAAAGTCGCGAACACACTTTTTCCTTCTATCATCTCCCTGGAAGCTTATTATATTTTATTTTGCGTTATTTTTCTAGTTTTTTTCTTCATTGTTTTTGCCCCAACCCCCGAATTTTGTAGTGGTTAAACCGACGATGATCATTGCAGCAGCTTCAATTTTGCGTATTTTCAACTAATGATAATAACAACTTACTTTATAAGGTACGACCTGCGGTCATGATGAAGGTTGCGCATGCCTGGTTTACACTATCTGTCTGCGTATTTCCATACTTTGACGTCAAGCTTCATTTAACACACTCCAGATATCTTTTAAATATTTTCGGTATTACACGCTAAAATGTCTTCTACCATTTTATGTGCATTTCCTGAGATGTTTATTGTTTAATTTTGCACGTATGCTAAAAGTGTAAAGCTGTCATTAACGCCGAGAGCAACTTCATGATCCATAGTAATTTATTTCAAATTTTAATTTCTTATCAAACCGCCCAGGTACTTTTACTTTTAGCACTAACCTCTGGAAATTACTGCTGAAAATTATGGCAAAAATAGTGCTTCGCTTTCTCTACATGCATAATAATTGCTTTAATATAAAAAAACATAAATGTGACGTGCAAAACAGTTTTATTTCTGCTACTTTCTAGTGTAATACAGATTTTTAGTTAAATGTGACGTGCAAAACAATTTTATTTCTGTTACTTTCTAGTGTAATACAGATTTTTAGTAAAAGTAGTTTCAATAAATTAAATTATATTAAATTGGACATGAAAACTTGCTACCAGCGGGTAACCAAAATCACAACAGGCATTGTTTCACATGTTTTGTATTTAAATTTATAGAAAATTAAACACGGTACCAAATGGTAACGAAATACATTTGGCTTTCAGCGGGTGTCTTGAGTTTTAAACATTTCTAACATAACTAATTTGATAAATACATAATTTTGAATTTCAGAGACTTGGCTAATAACAAATAACAACAAAATACTAATATTCATACTAATTTTAGATTCCTGAACTTTTGGATTCTATTTCAAAATCTCCGAGCGATAACTGCATGAATTACAAAAACTGAATGAACGACTGACTGGCCTATCAAGAGTAAATGAATGAGAGGTATCAACACGTTTTTCGTCATATTTAACTTGATTATCAAGATACATGTTTCCAACAAGTGGCAGAGTATTTAAAATCTAGACAAGAAAAGACGCTGGCCATCTCTGGCCTGTATCTTTTCACTGACACTTTCGGATGATATTTACCTGTGGCGCAGTTTGCAGTGCATATTATCAATAACGAAATCAACAAATTCCTCTTCATATATTCACACGATATTAATCCGCGTTTAAAAATAAAGTTTGGCATTTCAATACAGACAACTTATTTCAGCCATCACTATTAATTAAATCAACGCCAAAGATGCTTCAATTTTTGTAATAGAATTACATTCTCCCGAAATTATGGAAAGTTAAAATATAATCAAAAGATGCAATCCAATCACATCGAAGTAAATAAGAATAAAAGAATCTTAACCAAGAAAATTAGTAAAGAAATGTACAAGTTAACTTTAAATTCTAGCGTTAATGTTGAAAACACTTCCAGTTACACTTCTTTGTTACATACGACACAGACGTCTGAACACTTCAATAAACACAACGTATGCAAATTGCATTTTACATGGGAAAAGGATGAAGAACTAATGCCATTTACAGATATAGCAAATTGGCTCTCTGCGCAGCTGCAACTCCGATAGGTTATACCGCAATACAGAGGCAGTCTTAAGTAATAGAACCACAAACTGTACTGATACTATATATAGGGCCTGTAGGAACCAAATGGGCCATTGTACTCGATTTATATGAACACAGAACTCTAAATATTAGTGTGACTTTCGTTTTATTTATCTTAGTAAAGAATGTTCAGGAATGATGTGATAACAGCGGTGTACAGTAATATTCTCTTCATGTACAGTCTACTAGAGCAGAACATATACGTTTCAGACTATGCCTACTAAATGTAGTGCCTTCCTGAAACATCTTTCAACAATTCACATTTACTGTTCTTTTTGATTGGTGATTTTATTATCTAAGATTTGAATCCTCTTTTGCTAGCAGATAAGACTTCGGTTTGCCTGCGTGTGTGACACAGCGCACTGTATAAATATATTCCATTCTTCATTCAATATGTAACAAGTATTTGCTTCTGAGACAAGTCAAAGGCTTATTAGCTATGGCGATAAAATAACTAGAGAACTCCCTGATGATGGTAAACTTCTACCAGACTATACGGCGCTACATACCAAAAGACAGCTATCTCGCCGCCATGAGAACCTCATAGACAAGCTATCTCGCCGCCATGAGAACCTCATGTCCTACTAAGAATAAGGTAAATTACAGGGGGTGGGTTTCTTATATCATTCGTCTGAACAACTAAGAAAAAAAAGGATAATTTGGCGAAATATGATTTTAATAAATGTGAAATACTCCAGAAGTGGCAATCTTCACACTGGCGTTCAAATCGGGACAGACGTTTTTATATTTATCACACAAAATTATAATTATAAACTATAAATTATAATTGGGGTGTAAGTAAAATGGCGTTGTGTGAGTGGAAAATGGTAACACGTTCCGTGAGTACGAGGTGCTAAAGGTAAGTAACCTGTTCTAGAGGGATGAATCACAGAGTACTACATAATTCCTCATCCGCTACTCTGGATATGTCACTATTACGGAACACTTTGTGAAAGTCGAGCACCTAGAGAAAAGGATTTTAAGTCTCCTTAATGAGAGATGACAAGTTCTGAGTTATGAACAAGTTATAGCCTATAGACATCAATACAACTTGAATGGATATGAATTGAAGCTGCAGTGGCTTATTTTAGAGTAATTTATAAAATAAAATAGCACAGTATAAGCAGTCTCAAAATTCGAACCAGGTACTGACTGAATTATACCATTCATTTAACCTGCTCGGTAAGTAATGAAAATTGTGTCTGTATTTACGTCGAGTTCTATATGCTCCTGGCCTTAATTTGATTAAAGAACTACCGGCACATGTTAGGGCCCCACATTGCATGTGGTTTGTAAGGTTTCCATCGATTTCCACCCCCACCCGAAACTTTTTCCCAAACCTTCAACTTATTCCAACTGAACGTTACAGCAAACTAACTAGTTAGCACTTATTAGTATTCTCGTAGCTCAGGGTTCGAATCTTGTACCGCAGACAAACAAACCTGATATATCATGTATCAACTATTTTTTATTAGTATCATGTCAAGAAGAGTATTGAGAATTTCCAAAAATTTAACCAACTAAGGCTACTGACTTTTAAGCTAACCTGCTCAGAATACTGATAAATCAAATATTGTTGGTTCAATAGATCACCAGCAGAAATCATTTAGTATAAAATGCAGTCATAGGATGATAATGAATGCTGAACTGGAAAGGCTGTTTATTTCATGACACTTTGTCAACTGTGTAAGTTCCAAATGGATACGACAAGATGATTAGGAATGATGTGGAATGAAGTAGCCATGGCCAATTTTAGGTAATATCCCAGCCTTCAAGGGCTGAGGAAAACCACAACAAATTGAATCAGGATATCTGGTCTTGGGGCTGAGGTTTACACAATGAACTTTCCCAGTACAACTGAAATGCAATGCACAGTACAGTACACTGGCAAGGATGCACTGGGATGTGTTATTCTGTATGGGTATGAAACCTGGTCATCCTAACGGTAGAACAAAGACTGATATTGGTGTTGGAGAACAGGGTGATGAGAATATATGGACCTGAGAGAAAATAACAAGGGAATGGAAATAATTTCATAATTACAAGCTTCATAATTTGTAATCTTCACCAAATAGTATCAACGTGATGACATCCATGATTATGAGATGGGTGGGCATGCAATGATGCATGTTAGAGACGAAACATATTACAGTTTTCATTGGAAAACCTAAAGGGCAGGGACCATTTCATATCGCAAGGCACAGATGAGGGTATAAAATGAAGATCGATCTTAAGGAAAAATAAGGTAAGATTATTTGGACTACATTTATATTGTTCAAGAAAAGGTCCGGTGATGGGATCTTGTGAACATAGTGATTAAACTTTGGGTTCCATAACAATAGTAGATTTTTTGACTGCGTGACTATTTGCTTCTTAAGGAGGACTCCGATCCATGGAGTCAGTATTGATGTAACTTATAATACTAGCATATAAATGTAACTTTAATATCATTATATAACCAAAGAAATACAAATTAGATGTACAATTTAAGTTTTGGGGGATCAGCCACATCAAATGTTGAAAATTATCCAACTCACCCTAAAGATGGCAACTGCAATATCTATCAAAATGTTTAAGAATTTTCAACTCTGTACATGGCTTATCCCCAAAAGCTGAAGTTTTACATTCCAGCCACAAAAACCTAATAACACAAAATACAAATTGGATTTGAACCCAAGCTACAGTAAATTTCAACAAATTGTCTCTGTAAACAAGTTGCTAGTACTGAGCAACTAAATCAACGAGAGTCGTGGCTAATGCCTCTAGACATGTTATTACCAACTTTTCTGACTACTCACCTCTGTAACGGTGAAGGAATCCAGTACTGTGTGGGGGTTCGTATGATGAGAACTCAGCTTTCTTCATGGTAGGATGATAATGGCTGAAAAAGAGAACCTACAGCTGAACATAATATAAGCCTTGTATTCCTTTCAATGACAAACTTTATGAACTGAAGGGAGAGAAAGGAACATGGAAAAATCTATACCAGATCACAATGGTCTGAAATCCAAGACCTCTGGCACAGGTCTTAAGAGATTTATAATCAAGTTACCCCATATACACTAGTGCAGTGGTCCCCAACGTGGCGCCCGCCAAGGCTTTTTTTGGGTGCCCGCGTTGTTACAGAAAGAGGTTATACTGAATAATGAAGGCCGTTCAACCATGAACATTATAAAATTAAAGCACAGATCTCGACTTACTGACGCCCATCTTGACGATTGTTTGCGAGCAGCAACATCATCCTACACTCCCAAATTTGAAAAACTGGCCGATGAAATGCAGTGTCAAACATCACACTAACTTCCCAATTGAGTAATAATAATTTTACTTATAAAACTATGTATTTTTGATTGCGTGGTTTCTTGTATCATTAAATGTTGTGTTGTTTTGTGTATTGTGTATATCTTATTTGTCCAGAGAAAAGAAAATTTGGCTTTGTTAATTGGTTGGTGCCCGCCACGATCTCATAAACTCTCAAATGTGCCCGTAGGCACAAAAAGGTTGGGGACCACTGCACTAGTGTATTAAGAATGTCAACCAAAGGTAGCATAAATATGATTTATTATTCCTAATATTTGGAACAATATCATATAACTGAAGCTATATAATAATGAAAACATTCTTGTAACTGATGGCAAAACTTCCATAAATTAAAGCTATCTGTTGTGAAAAATAATGTATTAAGGTATATAAGTTGTATATTATTTTAAAATGCAATTATTGAAATATATTACAATTCTTATACATCATACAGTAACTTACTACAGCAAAAGCAAAGTCTATAAAAATGTTCTACATGTTAGCCTTATCTTTTTACATGTCATTATTCTACCTCACAAAAGCATAAATCTAATAGTAATAGATGCCATCAGTTCAAGAAGTTGACACTTCTAAAAATATGTTGTTGCTTTTTTTAATTTCTAAAGTTGGACGGAGACAGACAAAATATAAGCATCTTTCTTATATGGATCAGTTATGGTGAATCATGCTTGAGCATTATCATCATTCTTGTTGCTGTTGTTTCTTAATTACTAAAGACATAACCTTAAAGTATATTATTCTCACCTGATTGTACAGGAAAATGTGCTCTGTAGGTAATTAAATTTACGAGAGAGAGACAAGGTATTTATGAAGCAAGAAAGCCTGGTCTAGTATTGTCAGTTCATAATAGAAGTTATCCTCACCATACATATTATAAAATAAAACACAAAGAAAAAAATTTGTGGTCAATTTTTATTTTTGTTAACTTTTTATGAACTCATGATTTCTTTGCATTTCACCATCACTGATTCATTATTAATATATAGCAAGTTATTGTAAATACATTCTATAAGCAATGTATCTCTGTTTTAAGCAAAAAAACAGTGTCACCAACTTTTGTTACCTCCATTTTAAACACAAAATTCCACCAGCTCTTCCTCTAAAATAAACCTTTAATAAAACTTTGAAATTTCAGTATATATATATATATATATTTCACAATAAATTAAATAACTATTGCTAAATGAAGCAATAAATAAGAATTTTCAAATATTTATTTTAATAATCTATTGGTGACATAATTCATAATTTCATTCTGTCTTTTGTGTTCCTTATTTAAAATTCTTACATTATTTCATTTCATAAATTGTCAAGCGTCCCACAATCTATCTACATGGAAGTCTATTACACAATTAAATGGAAGTTCTTATATTGCTATGTGGCACAACTTCATGTGCCTCTTAATGTAGTTTGTAAATAATGTTATTTATATCGTGGGTGTGTGCATAAACAGTTAATAATGTAGAAATATAACTTTGTAGAAAATAAGGCGTAGCGTGAGCAGTTTTAGGCCAGCATAGTTTATCTTAATAGCTCTAATAAAGAGAATAAATAACATCTTCATTAAAGAAGAAAAGGCCAGAAATTGCATAGAGTAAAATACTGCCACTCAGAATCCTCAATCTGTCATGTGTTGCTCTCAACATATAATACAGTAAATTAAGCTTCAAACTTGTCATATTTTCTTAATTATTTATTATGTCAGAAAATGTTGCTTTATTATTTTTTTTGTCCTATAACTTACATGACACCTGTCACAAAAGATAGCAACCAGTATAAATTTTTGTATTGGCATAAACAAGCTATTTGCATTTCTTTTTTTCTTGTATTTCCTTTTCTATTTCAGAAAATACAACTGTAATTATTTAAATGTAATAACTATAATTATTTAACTTTTGAAAAGCAGACATTTAAATGGACAAGACAGTGATTGAGAATTTCAAGGACTCTAGACAAAAATGTCAGCATAAGAGTTAATGACTTACTTGCTAAAGGACTAGGCTGATTCATTTCACCTTTTATAGAGTAGATCTTCTGACCTGTTCCAATTCAGAATTACTCCTTAAATTATGAATCTGTTTTGTCATACGGTAGGACACCTTGGACAAGTGATCGGCCCAATGCAAGGCCTCCACTTATATGGGACAGCACACCACAGATGCGGACAGACATCCAAGCCTCAAATGGAATTTTAACCCATAATCCAAGTGTTCAAGCAATCAAAGCCCAAAACCTTAGACCACACAGCCACCACGATTGGAAATATCTTTACAGCATTAGTTGTTCCTGCCTAGGATAAGAAAATTTTATACAATTTTCACTACCAACTAATCTTTCTCTCCCACCTTACTGGTCCTGCAGTAGACCAGTCCTTAATTCATTCAAATGTATATCAGGCCACATTAATAATTGGAGTGCTACTTCCAGAGTAGTGGGGTGACCTAGTTCAACAAGAAAACACTCTGGTAATAAAAAGTAAAAATTTCTGTCTTCCTCTTTTCATATAATTTTGTTGTAAAAATAATTACAGGCCTACTACAATATGTCCAAGATTTCTCTATGTTTTTTTTTCCATAAACAGTTGTTAACCCAGTTATTGATCTTTCTAACCTCCTGAATTACATAATATAAAATTGTTTCAGTGTGTCATGACTAATGTTTCCAAGCATAAATATTCTGTAATAGCATTTTTTCTGCAATGATCCTTCTCTCATACAAAAAATTTGCATAGAATTGTCCATTTCACATACTTTTGTTACAAAGGTTCAATGTATGTCCAATGGTTTTGTAATTTAAAGTTTGAAAACAACTTTTCCCCTTTAAATATATTAAAATAATATTTTACTGCAATTACAATTAATTTATTTTGTTACGGTCAATTTATGCAACAGCTACTCCAAGTTTGTCTTTCTTTGTGTTTGTTGCCTATTTTATTCCTTCCTATTGTCCATTTTATTTCATTCTGTTAATCTTCTCACAGAGACAAACACACAAAGATTCATGTGTATATGGTATCTGGCACATTATAACAAAACTGACTGTTACTGGGGTGGAAACATTCCCACACCTCCCTTAATGCACATATTGGAGAGAAAATAATGGCAACAGATTTTAACTTTTTCTACTATATTTCCAACTATTATACCAGTTTGAAGTCTTTGTCAACAGGCAATGCTAAAAATCATGATGTCAGAAGTGTGGAAAATCTGAATTTTCACCAAAAATATAATTTTGTCATTAACCTGTGAGAAATACCATGATAGAACACAAATATGTGAACATGAAAAGGTAAGCTGTTTAGTAGGAAACCTGTTAAAAGAGTAAGCAGGATTCTATCTCCCTCCCCTGTGTGACCATGTTCAATCTGTCCATGTGTCTTGTATTCTTCTTCATTCTCAGGCCATCTTTGTATATAAGATACATACTTACCAATCCTCTCTAGATAAAACACCAGCATAATTTATAACAGCACTAATAAATCCACAGCAATTCTTCCTGCTGCCCACATCTATAATGGCAGGAACTTAATTCCTAGGCACTGTATGGGTAATGGGGTCATGTGCTATGTTGAGTTGCGTTTGTAGAATTTGTACAGATGGATAGGTATCCGGTCCCATCCACGCTTTTCCAGCATCCGGTCCAGGTCAAAGATTACTGCATCCAGAATCCTGTGTAGTTTCTCAGAGAATGGGTCCCTGTGACATGAAGATCAAGATTATCTTAACTAGCAAAAAACATATTTCTAAAATTCACTCTTTCATTATGTATGTGCTAAATAAATTGTACAAAACTTCATTGCTTATATGCAATATGCTATATGCTTATAGGCTGGATGACCAGGGTTCACTTATTGGCAAGTGTAGGACTTTTCTCTGAACCAATTGATACTGGAGGCTCCTTCTCCTGTGGTAAGGTGGCCAGAGTGTGAAGCTAGAAAACTCACAACAATCTAGTTTTGAAACTACAAATATATGGACTCTACTCCCACTCCTACTATACACCTTCATGGCATAATACTCAGACAAGTTTATCAATTTATAAACAAAAATATGTAGGCATTTATACTTTCAAATAATGGAAAAATATAGGGCAACTGGCAACTGTAAACATGTCCATTATAACAATGTCTAGAAAGTCATTTAATATGCTTTTGATTTCTGGAAAACAAAGGTAGGATGGTCACATCCTTCCACCCTACTTCCTTAAAATAAATTTTAATATTGTCCTTCTACCTAAGCCTTTGTTTTCCAATCAAATTCCTGTTCACCTCTCATCTCCACCATGCATACCATATGCCTTAGCCATCTAACCATCCTTAATTTGATCATCTTCATAATATTAAGTGAAGGATATAGATTACAAAACTAAAAACACCTGTACTTTGAGGTTAGCCAAGTTACAGGTCACAGATAAAGCCCATAATTAAAGACTGAGAGAATGAAATGTGCTGCTCTGTCAGGTTATCACACACCTTGTGGGGCAGTGACAAATAAATATAGAGTATGGTGAAATGATAATTAGTAGGGGAAAACAGAGAACACTGCGAAAAACGTGCATCAGTGCCAATTTGTACACCTGAATCTTACTTCAAGTCAGATGTATATCAGATAGATATTAGATTTGAACAAATTCTTGGATGCCCTGCTTAGCAATATGAACTTCTATAGTAATCCTTAATATACACTATTTGATTAGTACTTTTTTCATACTTTGCTTTTTTCCTACTGTCTGTTTATCATTTGATATAAGTTTCGAGAACTACACTTTTATCAAGAAAGTTTTTTGTAATATAACAATATTCTTCTTAGTTATTGATGTTGTGGCTAATTCCTCCAGTTACACTCAATCCTCCAGGCCTTTTGCCTGCTTTGGTAATTGTGATCTGGGAAGAGTCCATTTCTGAAATTCGGTAATATATGAAGTAGATTGCACAAAAAGGCATATAGAAAAGTCTAAACTAAAACTGGCCAATCTCAAACCCAATATCACAGGCAGAGAATTCCAGTGCTTTACCCCTACAAAGAAGACCCCTGCCTAGCTCCTAATCCCCACATTTTAGTTGTTTTTAACTACCTGGTTTTGAAGAGTATTTGCTGTGAAGACTGTGGCCGCTTAAATGGGCCATCTATGTGATTCATGACACAGCCAATCCTCTGTTCATCCACAGAAATGCCTAAATAATCCAACAGCCTGCTAAGGTCATGATGTGGGTAAAGATGAAGCTTCTCAAAATGTAGGACCATGGCTTCATGCCCCCTGGTATAGTTAATCCATGTAGCAGCCAACTCCTTCCATACTACTGCCAACTGAGTAGCAAATCTCTCCCATTCTGTAGCAACAATATAGAAAGAATTGGAAATATGTTTCATTGTCTTATTTCATGCTAAGACATACAGTTTACGGTTGAAAAATTGCAGTTTATTCATTAACCATTTAACAAGTTGAATTTTGGAGTCATAATAAATATTATGTATAATCCCAATCTTTCACTGCGACTAAGTACAATAAATTCTTCTCAGGCTACCAGCCGTGTAAGGTGGCTTAATGAAGAAAACACTAACCATCTTCATCCTCGTCCTCAGAGTAGCGGTAGAAGATCTCGTCGGTGCCTAATGTCTACCTGACCCAGTTTTATGTTATAGGCTGGATGTTAGCCAATAACACAAAACTGTGTCAGGTAGATACTGAGCACGGCAAACCAAAACACCTCCAACAGAAATCCCCACCAGACTGAGCAGCCAGTCCAATGTTCTTTGAAAAATTCAAGTTTTTAAACTAACTTCCTTCAAAAATATCCGGCTACATTATGAAACATGCTGCAGTAAACTGGATTTCTTAGAAAGTAATGGTTTCCTCTAAGATTTCAACATACACCATACTCCTGCCATCTCCAAGAATATTATAACATTACATAGCGCACAGCGCAATTACATAATGCAAGCCAACAAACATGCAAATATCAAACTGGCATTTATTCAATACTGATGCAAATAAAAGTTATGTGCCTAGCAGTGTGTCTCAGCTAGCAAGGTTTATTTTATACTGATGCAAATAAAAGTTATATGCCTAGCAGTGTGTCTCAGCTAGCAAGTTTACAAAAAAGCATGAAGAAGGACAAGATTCTGTTGAGAGATATCTAAAATTAAAGGACTCCAACATGAAACATCTTACTGTGCAACGTAAGTGATTCACTGAAAATTCTTGCATTGATATTGTTCTCACATATGACACACAGTAGTCTCTGTGAGTGTTACCTGGTCCTCTGAATCGACTGTGGGGAGCGAAACCTGTGTGACCTCCATATAAGAAATTTCGGTAGGATAGAAGAGCCTCATATGGGTTTCTCAGAAGTAGTATGCCCCGACCTTGAAACAGTTTCATTTCTGCTGTACGCTGAGCTAATCCTGCAGGAACCAAGCCGTCTAATGCAAAACCATGTGTCTTCTGCACCACTGTGCAGCCACAGTCTGGGGGGACAGCTTCGCCATAGAAACCTGTTGCAAATGCAAGAGAGATTCCAGCCAGTTACACAGGATGTGTATTAGTACTTTGTATTCAGTAGCACTGTACAAATTAACTATTCATCTATCAAATGTGTCTTGCAAATTAATGATGCAATTATGAATAAATTGTGAAAACTTTCTGGGATGTTATGTATTTTATGCTGGGCCACCTTCTTATGAATTTCTCGTAGCATTTAAACTCACTGCATGCCACATTTGACGTCAATCCATCCATCCATCCATTCACAAATTTCATGCATGGCCTGAAAGTCTAATTGAAGCTTTATGAGACATTGAAATATTATTTATTGTATTCCTTCAAATACTGCATGACAGATGCTTGAACTGTATCTTGAAATCTTCTTTAATTTCTGTAACACAAAGCAGATATGGTATTATGACATTCATTTATAGATGACAGTGACCTGTTAAGGACTTGTAGCATGCTGAAACACAAAACTTGGTTTTCAAATTAATCTAATTTTATTACGTTAGCTTAAGGAGTTTTTTACTTTACTGCTTTGGTTGTTCATCAATACAGATTTGCCAAAAATTAAAATCATGGTTGTCTTCACCATAGTTGTCAAAAGGAACAAGAAATATGTACAGCTACGTACCATTTGCTGACAAAATTTCTACTTTTAATTGTATAAGTAACTCTTTAAATATATTTTCACATGAAGAAAAACTGACATTCTGTAGAATGTTTCTTGCACCGCGTGAATCATGTAATGAACAGATAAACATTCTAAGACTACATTTCATATCCCCTTTCCATATCCGTTATGAAAGGTACAAGATAGGCATGCTTTCTGTGGCAGCCAGACTCACCCTTAGCAAGAATTCATTCCTTTTTAAGAGGACTGGCATCCCAAAATGGCTGTATGTAACCAAAAACAAAAGTGTCCATATTGAATCATCAGCCATTATTCCTTAAAATATTGAAGAAAATGAAGTTTCTAAATGTTATAATTTGACGTTATTAAATGTTTTTTCTTTGTTCCCGTGAACACCTAGTCAGTGAAACCATGGTTTGACTTTGCCTGCATACCTTTACTTATAATCCTCCGATCAATGTAAACACTTCCAGTGAATATGCCAGATGCTGTTTCCAGAAGATAGCGTACCCAAGTGTTACCACTTCCAGGGAAGGAGACTAAAGCAGTCATGGGCAGTGATTTCTGTCTTGCAAAGTGGATGCGATAGCGACCGCATTCTTCAGAGTAAGGCCATGGAATGAACGTCTTTCTGTTTCTATCAACTTCTATGCCCACAGATAAACCTGCACATGTGAAACATCTCCAGTAATATTTTGTGTTAGAGTAGCCATTAGTCTGGTTTTTGTAATGGAGAATCTCCCATAATTATACAGACTGAAAATGCTAATATTACCTTAATTCACAAAGTAAAGATAAAAACACCTTGAAAGTCCTTCATTAAGTAGAAATGTTATAATTGAAAACAAATTTTGTATCAATTGAAAGGAAATAATTATAGATTCTGTGATCTTAGACAATAAACAAAAATATAAATACTAATAAAGGAAAGTAAATATATAGTAAGGATGTATACATTAATGTACTTAATTTAATTAATAATATTTAGCATAAGATGGAAAAGCTTATTAAAACAAGCATGAGAGAATTAGTTTAGTTTCTGGTAGGCCTATTACTTTCAATCACATATCTTTTTGTTCTTATGGTCAGGAAGCAAATGACATGTTACAATCAAGCAAACCTGGTATGTGTGGGTCCAACTGTGAATTGACGGTGTTGACGTCATTGTGTGTTGGCACTCTGAAATAAAATAAAATGTCTTAACATAATTTGTATTAAATTTTCATTCATCATCCAATGTATCGCTGTTGTTCTTAAGGGTTGCAACACTATGTGGTAATATTGGTTCATATGGAGAAACTGTCATCTTCTCCTTTTTCTTCAGGAAAATAATATATTTCTCAGAAATGTCAAGTATTTACCTGCAATTTCACACAGTTCCAACCAAGAAGACCAACATCAATATCACCACTGTTAGATCTCAAATCTCACAAGATCAAATACCATGTCTGGAGGCATCAAATGCCTCGACAACAGAATCATCAGACAGCCTTATCATACGGAAACAGGGGGTTTAATACCCATACTGCCCCTCCCGATCGGGCTGCCCGCAAGACTTTAATTGGGGGGTTAAGGGAGGTGTCAAAATGTACAAAAAAGAAAAGGCCACTTATGACGAAAACATTTGAGAAAGTTGTACAGCAAAACTTCTAGTCTGTCATTATTTTCTTGTGTTAGATAGAACTCTGTATGATGATCACGAAGCCATGTTACACGATGTGATGCGTGCTCCACAATGGCCCGCTAATGACATTACTGCCGTGGCTTAAAGGTCACATAGGGTCTTAAAGGTTAATTGATACTACTCCTACGCGCAACCAGCTGGACGGCGTACGAAGCGAAGAGCGGACGTAATTGTCAATTCGGCCACCATATACGTATATTATCATGAATAAATAAATACAAGACAGCCAGATTAAATTTGTTTCGAAGCTCTGTTACAAACTTTGAACATATTTAAAATTGAAAACTTCTTTCGCCCTAATTAAACGGATATAATGTCCCAAGAATTTTTCTATTTTAATAATATACCATCGTCATAAACCTTCAGATTTAATAGGGAAATAAATTTATTTCATATCCTGAATAAACTGCTTCCACATATTACTTTACAAATCCAACTACTAAAACTTCTTGCGTATTTTTTTAAAACACCCATATAAGAATGTTACTTACAACTGAGTGTGGCCAAGGCAACATTTTCCTCGCAATGTGGGCACAATAATTATCAATGCGACCAAGACTTCTATTTCTTGTATGCAGCCACACCAAACTTTTCTTGTTGATGTTTTGTTTTGCCATGACAGCAGCCACGATGACAAATCGCTGTCCTGTCCATACAAGCTGTCACGAAAACTTTTCACCTGAGAACCGCTCATCAAAATCTAGGTTCGATTAGATTAGAAGCGTTTGGTAGAGACAACTGTTAGATTTCAATGGCTGAAACTTTAAAATACATTTTACAAAAATCACGTTTATACGATAAACTAAATGTAAAGTTGTCCCTGAGCTTAAATAAACACCACGAAGACGTACGGGAAGTATAGTACATGCGGTTGAATAGGTGCGAAGTTAGCTTCACGTCCCGGTTGCTTTACGTCCGAGGAAAGAGACCCAAATCGTTAGTCAACAAAGCCGACTACGACTGTTTTAGCCTTCATTAAATTTCGACCACTGCACATAAAATTCTGATAAGTTAAACTACATCGAGTCAAATGTTTGAAAACGCTTTTCCCTACGCAGTACGTATTAACGGATACGTCCAGGAGCACTCACCTGTAGTGTGGGGTAGTGTAGTGTCTAACAGCCCTCAGCATGGTTTCCTCCAGGTCAGGTGTTACCAACAACAGTACCAACATTCCCAGTACTGTTGCTGTCATCATAAGGAACAGCTGCATCACCTTCAGGAATGGACTCATGATGGCTGACAAAACATACGCGTGCATTAGTATGATCATTCATTCATAACTTTCTTGGCATATATTTTTGCCTGCATGTTTAAAGCTCCTGACCTCAACTCTATGCGTGGAACTGTGTTGAAATTATTTATTTATTTAACGAAGCGTTTTCAGTAGCTCAGATTACATAGCGTCGAATGTTGAAATTAAACAAGGTTAAAATATTATAGACGTCATCACACTAGGGTTGTTGTTGTTGTTGTTGTTGTTGTTGTT